TATTTAGGTGCCCCCAATAAGACCTAACGATCTTGTCACAGAGCACCGCGGAAGTGCATTTAACCAAGAAGTTGACACCTCCTTCCTTACCGTGACGTGAAATTACGTCCAGAGTTTGTTTCGAACCTGGATCTCCTGCTTTTAAAGCAAGCGCTCTAACTTCTGCGCCACAGCCGCACAGTTTGTGATTGCCTTCCAATGTGTTCGGAATTATCCCACGTACGTAGTTACGAACACCAATCGTTTTATTTTTGCGATAAATTTTTATTTTATAAAAATATTTATAAAAATTGCTTTTTAGGGTTTGTGACTTAATATTTAAACTAACTGATGAGCAACAAATATGATCAATTTCGTATAACTGATGTCTTTAGTTCGCATACCTGCTCTCCCTATATATATATATATATATATATATATATATATATATATATATATATATATATATATATATATATATATATATATATATATATATATATATATATATATATATATATATATATATATATATATATATATATATATATATATATATATATATATATATATATATATATATATATATATATATATATATATAAAGATAATAAAAACCAGGATTTTTTGTTATAAACAACTTGATTACAAGACCATCGTTTCTAATGTTTAACATAAGTTACAAACACGAATATTAGAAAGTATCGCAAGTTAAAAGGTTTCCTTCGTTCAGCATAACAAACAAATGCAAACGTTTTTAACAAGATCTCGTACGTCCTTAAAAATGGTAGTGGTGTAGTGGTAGAGCGCTCGCATTATAAATGAGGAGTTTCAAATTCGATCACCACCGACATCCTTGTAGTAACGCGCTTAAATTGTTTCTCCGTGCAGTAGCCTTGTTTGCCAAAGTTTCGTGTTTCGGAGTCAAAGAGTTGAGAAAAGGTTTGATTGATTGATATTTATTAGAACAAAGTATAAATACATGTTCTAAAGAACACGAAGGCCCATACAAAGATGGACACTAACAACGTGCCCAAAGAAATTTAGAAATATCGCTGCAAAAAAAAATAACAAAACTATAAAGAAACAAATAGTTGTTCCTTTTACAATTTGTTAAAGTCGAAAGATTTAATTTTATTTTTGAACGTTAAAATGTTATTTGCATTTACAGCCTCCAAGGTCATATTGTTCCACATGTCAACAACTCGGTAAGAAAAGCTATATTTTCTTAAATCCAAGTGACAAGATTGTTTGCTTATTTTATAATTATGACCCCGGGTGTGGCTATTAACGTCTGTCCACAAAAAATCCGGAATGAAAAGTTGTTCTTAATTGAATACAAAATTAATCGATTTTTGACAAAAATTTTAACTAAATGATAGACTGTACATCGTTAACTATTTTATAACCGAAAGTGGTCCTAAATCTGCGGCTTTTCGAACTTTAGTTTTGACTGAATCCATTAGGTTGAAAAAGTAGTCCGGATCGAACTCTTTCAACTTTAATCGAATTCTATTCTTAAGGTGGTCAAGATTTTTCGCAGTAAATCCATTTCCATAAACTTTTGCTTTTAATTGTGCCCAAAAATTTTCAATTGGCCTTAACTGCGGTACATTTAGGCGGTTATCTTTAGCGTCGACAAAGTTAATACCTAAAGTGTTGTAAGTTTCTAATGTGTGTTTTGCATAATGACATCTCGCTCCGTCAGGCCAAAATAAAATTTTCATATTTTGATGCTTGGAATTTATAAATGGATGAATCTTTTTGTAATCCATTCTTTAGAATAAGTTTTTGCATCCAGTGCACAGTTTTTTACAGCAAAATAAGGCGATGAATGACCGAAACGACTGATTGCAATCCAAACGAGAACTTTCTCGTCAAACTTTTTTTTGAAGTTGAATTTAATGTTAGGATTGGTTTGAGAACTATCCTTTGTATAGTAGCCAGAGTTTTGTAAATACTTTGCACCATTTACACAGAAATAAGGTTCATCGTCCATGATGATTTCAAACTCATTTGATGGCTTGAAAAAAGTTTTTGAAAGTTTTAATAAGTTTTTCTTTTGTTTAATTTCTTGCTTTTCTGTTATTTTTAGTGCATTTTTTCTTTTGGTATACTTCAGTCCATGCATACTTAGTAATCTATTTACATATGAAACGCTTATCTTATATTTTAGTGCCAATTTTCTTTGCGAAATCCCGATTCTCTCTTCTGCTCTTGCAATCATGGACTCTATCTTTTCTGGTGTGATTTTAAAAGGTTTTCTGTCGCCGAATTTTCTTTTCATTGGCAAATTATTTTCAGACCTTTTAATTGTGTCATAAATTGTAGATTTAGCGATTCCCATTTTCTTAAAATGATCCACTGTAAATTTCTTTCCACTGTTTATGTTTTGTTTATAAAAATTTCCAATCACATTTCTAACATCGTTCTCTTTTAGATGCTCCATGTTTATTTGAATTAATTATTTAAACTCAATTTTGCCACAAAATGAAACTGTTGTTGTTGACCGATTAAATTTAAAAATTTCGAATCGAAAATTCGAAATTTAGAACATTTTTGTGTACATTTGAAATCAGTCCGGATTTTTTGTGAACAGACGTTATTGTCAATCGCAAAGATCATAGATTGATCAGTACAGACAAGTTTACGAAAATTTTTAAAGCAAGTTAATAAGTCTAATAAGCTTTTAAGACGCCGAACTTCGAGTGATTCGATTCCAAGCAACTGTAATCTATTATGATAGGAAAGATTTCTAAGGCTCCTTATTTTTTTTGTAAATTTTTGTTGGACACTTTTAACTGATTTAATCAATCCAATTTGGTGTTTCGATCATACTGGAAAACAGGTTAAAACCATAATATAGTAGCCTCCTAGATAATAGTGGCCTTCCTTGTCTCGGGGAGATGAATAACATAAAATTACTTAAAGGTTTCAATTTCATTTAAATTTTTAACAGCGAATTATATATTTTAAAGGCAATTATTTTGACCGAATTTGGAAGAGAATTTAGAATACTTTTGTTCGGAATCTGGTAAAATAAAGATTTTACTTTTCAATTTTTTCGAAAAAATGAAGTACTAAATTTTAAAAGAAAAAACGACTAAGTAATGAAAATAAAAACAAAAAATTCAAGAAAAAAGGTATAATTTATTAAATATAAAAATCACTCATCACAAAGGAAAAACAATATTAGAGAAGTGAAAAATAAAAAGAAATATAATGTCATTTATTATATTTATCTGTTTTTAATTTTCTATTTAGTTTATTCTTAAATTTTAGGTTATTTAATGTGAATTTATTATATATTTTATAATTTTATTTTTTGTTTGGTATTTGTTTATGGTTTTTAGTTTGCATTTTATTATCATTATTTGCTATTCGTTTTAGGTTATATAACACTATTATCACCATTAAAATTTTTGCTGACAAAAAAAGAAGTCTTCGTTTTTTGAAATTTGCCGACTGACTTGACTTAAGGGTCAAATTTGCCGACTAAATGAACGAAAAATTCATTGATGGGGAGGGAGGAGTTATAACCCGCTACACCCACCCCTTCCTTTGCCCCATGGCCTTGGTTATATAGTTTTCATTTTGATTATAAATATTAACTGATCATTGTTATTTTCTTTACAATAATTGTTTTTTTATTTCACGTAGGTTTTTACTTTATTTCAGTTTTTAACTTTTCCTATCTGTGTATATAATATTCAGTTTTTGTTAAAAATCTGTTAATTTCTATTATCGGTGTGGACAATTTTCTATTATTATCGTTATGTTATTCTTATTATTTTTTGTACCATTATCATTGTTGTTTTTACTATTATCAATATTATTATTATTTGTATCACTTATTATTATTTAATACCATTTTTATCAGGTTTTACTTTTAATTAGTTTCATACTGATTGTAAATATTCTTGATTGTTAGACCATCATTAGAAATATTGATCGATTATACTTAAAGAAATGTCACAGCAAAAAATTAGAGAAACCTGTTTCGCATTGCCATAGAATGAAACATAGACCACGCGATATACAACTATAATAATTAACGGAAACTACTTGATACCAAAATCTAATGTTTTCGGTTTTTAAATTCAGTCTTATTGAAGGCATTTGGTACCGGTTAGATATATTCTAAAATTCAATATCGTAAAGATACTCAACCGCTAGCCTTGCATATGTCAGGCTAATACTAAATGCCATTACAAAGTTGTCGTGTTTGGTGTTGTTAGTAAAATACCAGGAATTCCACACGAAAAAACTAGATTCTAAAATCCCGGTAATGGTAAATGATTCGTTATTAGATGCACTGCTTATGTCGCAAGCTAATAATAAAAATTAACCTTTATTTAAATTTTGATTAATATTATTATTATATTTCGATTAATATTAATACAAACATTGTAAATATGAAAAATGAAAAAATATATAATAATATAAAAGAGAAACATGTAAATATGAAAAGATGAGGAAAAAAAATGAAATTATCAAGTATATTGGCGCTGTCTCAACTGAGGTCAGGAAGCGTTTAAAGCGTGCAGGATAACCTGCGCGCATTAAACGTATTTTTAATTAGAGTTTAAATTAAATCTAATTTATACTATATTAATAAAAAATTATAGTTATACTTTCCATGGTTACCGTTTTATGACCACATAAAAAAAATTGAGGGATTTTGGAAATTTTTAAACAATTCTTGTTGGCCAAAAACGTAAAATTATTGAATTGAAATTATATTTTAAATCGGTGGTATAGTAGAAATATTTTCTGTGAAGCAGAAAAATAATCATTTGTCGCAAAAATCTTATTATTGACAATATCAACACTGTATTAAAAATTAAAAATAATAACATAAAAACAAAATCGCACAATTAATAAAGTACTAAAATAAAATCAAAAAATTGCATTTTTAAAATCAAAAAATTATTTAAAAACTATTAAAAACAGGTAATTTATGAAAAAAGGGAAATTTTATACATGGTATCGACAAGATTATTACTACAAACACAAAATTGTGAATGAAAAGTATTCATTTATTAAAATGCAGAACTTTAACGTAGACTGTCAACCAGTTTTAAGAATAAAAGGTTCCGTAAATTGATTTACGAAAGCTTTGATAAACGCAATGGTTTTTCGCATCTTGGTGGGAGAGGTGGTGTTCCAGGATCTGGTGATGCAACAAAAGATGCACTTTCATTTTCTATTGAAAGAAAAAATAATAATAACAACAAAAAAAAACAATATATTGTTAAAACTAAATCTGATATGTAAAGAAAACATACTTTAAACACTAAAAAAATAAGAATAAAGGCCTCCTATAATAATTATATGAATTTAAACAATTAATAACAAAAAGTAAATCATTTCCTTATTTATCGGGATAACTAAACACAACATGAAATTTATTTGTGCATTCAATTTAAAATCAATGAAACTAAATCTTTTTTTAAAAATTTATGAACTAACGCATCTTAATAATGAGTAAGTTATATATTATAATAAAAAGTAAATATATCAAATCTTGCAAATTTAATAACCTGATCGCGTAAACTACGTAACCATGATGTAACCTTTAGCTTTATGGATCAAATTAAATATGTAATAGTTTAGTAAAGATCTGATAGGTGGTTTAAAAGAAAATGCTTAAACAAATTGAAGTTCGAAAAATTACCGCGCCAAAACAAATCGATGTTAGAAAAGTTGCGCCAAATCAATTTAAGATTCAAAAAATTATCGTGTACAAATATAAAAGCTTCGCCCAGATCAAATGCAAAAAGAAATTTATAATTGATACAAGAAAGATTATATATATATATATATATATATATATATATATATATATATATATATATATATATATATATATATATATATATATATATATATATATATATATATATATATGTATATATATATATATATATATATATATATATATATATATATATATATATGTATATATATATATATATATATATATATATATAATCTTCCTTGTATCAATTATAAAATTCTTTTCTCAAGATATATATATATATATATATATATATATATATATATATATATATATATATATATATATATATATATATATATATATGTATATATATATATATATATATATATATATATCTTGAGAAAATCCTCAAGATATATATATATATATCTTGAGAAAATCCTCAAGATATATATATATATATATATATATATATATATATATATATATATATATATATATATATATATATATATATATATATATATATATATATATATATATATATATATATATATATATATATATATATCTTGAGGGTTTGATTAAACTCAATAACACCTCCTTGACTATTTGCTAGCCATTGGATGCAAATGGTTTTTTGTTTGTATTTAAATTTTTTTAAATTAACTAATTTTAGTATAAGTTTTAATAATTTTCTAGATTTTTTTAATGCTTGAAAAGAATGAAGATCAAAGTTAGTTTTATTTTTTCGGACAGTTGCGAAAACTTAAATTAAGTCCATAAAAAAATATTTTTTTTTGATTCAATATTTGTTTTTCAATCCTTTTTTTTTGATTCAATCTTTTAAAATTTTATATTAAGTATAATTAGTTAATCAAATAAAACTTATTTCTTATCTTCTTTATTTTTTTTAAATTTATATTTAATGTTATTTTATTCTTATTTTTTGTTTTAAACTTTTGCAATTACAGTTTAAATAAAAATTTAAATATATATTTATAGATACAACAAGAATTATAAAAAAATAAAAAAAAGTAAAAAAAGTACTTGGAGAGTCACTCTTTGTAATAATTCCACTCAAATAAAAGTGTTCAACCGAGAATGGATCACTTTGCGCAGAACTAGAAACGAGAGCTGGAGGAAAACGTATCACAGTATCTAAAATGTTGACATACTTACTACCTGAGTTATAATTGGTTGATAAATTTAATGAATCTGGTTTGCCTGCTCTATTGACTACTGATTTTCTAGGAGGTGGAAGGTCTAAAATAAATATTAAATAAATCAGACAAAAAAAAAGCAAAAAAAAACAAAAACGCTATAACAATAAGCTCATGTACAATTAAATATTTTAACAAAAATAACAAGAACAACAGTATATATATATATATATATATATATATATATATATATATATATATATATATATATATATATATATATATATATATACATATATATATATATATATATATATATATATATATATATATATATATATATATATATATATACATAAATAAATATATATATATATATATATATATATATATATATATAAATAAATATATATATATATATATATATATATATATATATATATATATATATATATATATATATATATATATATATATTATATATATGTATATATACATAGTTATGGCCAAAAAGATCTTACTACTCATAATTGAACTATTACTTATAAATGAAAAATATGCTGGCAACACTCTTACTAATCACAAGCTGTGTGAGGTTTAAACCTATAGTTGCATTGCTATTAACTAATATGAAAATATCTTATATGCACTATATATAGAGTGACCAGACATCCCGGTTTTTCAAGATTGTCCTGATTTTAGGTAAGTTGTTCAGGCATCCTGGAACAGGTCATTAAGACATTTTTTTAACTACCCCAGTTTGAAACAAGTTTTTTTGCCTTTGCTGGATTTTTCCACTTTTTTGTTATTCCTATTTCTGTGTCCCAGTTTTGTCCTTTTAAAATATTTAAAATATTTTAAAAATATATATAACATAAACATACAAATTTTATTCATTAATTTAATCGTTATTATTGCTTACTACAAATATGAGAACACACTAAACAGAACACAAGCTTACTAGCAACTGTGAGAAAATTCATAATGAAAATTAATTTAAATTATTCATAATTTAAGTCTCTTGTTGCCTTAATGCCTGAAAGAATAGAGGCCACATATGATAGACACAATGCTACAGAGAAAAGAGTTTTAAAAGTTTAAGGGTCCCATCCAAAGTACAAAAACATATTTTTACTGTGACTTTTTATTTTTCTATATTCATGTATATTATTTTTTGCATTTATATAATTTTTAGTAATACAACATGCAGTTACACACTACGCAGTACAAAAACAGTTTTTCACATTAAACGTGGTCAAACACTTTTGGGTGGTCCAAACAAATTGGGTGGTCAAACACTTATGACCATAACTGTATATATATATATATATATATATATATATATATATATTTTTCTCTAGAAAGTCAGTCTTACACTCCAAAAAATATTTTTTTATCATTATGCAACGCTATAATAATAATAATAAAAATAATAAATAAAAAAATGACTGAAGATAGTCAGTGTGTGAAAAAGTATTATAAACAATAATAACAATAATAATGTAGCGTACAAATACTTTTAACAACAATAATTTTCTGCAATAAAAGGTTTCTAATTAACTAATAATTTTGAAATTAAAGGGTACAATAGCGATTTTCTAACATAAGATTAACATAACATAATTTCCTAACCAAGTTGGAAGTTAGAAGTTTAGTTTGTACAATCAACTAGGAAAGACTTATACTAGTTGATTAAGTTTTTTTTAGTTGATGTACACTTCTTCAAAATAATGACAGGAGCAAAGTCTTTTGTGCTCCATCACTGTCTATGTAAAATAACACTATCTGACAGTGCTGAAAGAGTATATAATCAAATCCTGCTACTTTGGGCTTGAATGAGGCTACCTGTTAAATAGAAATATATTAAAAAGATGATCAAAGATCCTCAAGGCAAGCAAGATGGACTAATGAGGAATAAGTCTAGAAGTAATTACAAGGACTTACATAAATAAAAACCACAGTGTATTAAAAAATTTAGTAAACTGATTAGCATCAGTCATGCCAATGCATATAAGATAATATTTTTGAAGAAGAAAATAAATTATATATATATATATATATATATATATATATATATATATATATATATATATATATATATATATATATATATATATGTTTATCCCTTATTAGATGCTTTTTCTTTTTTTTCTTTTTTTTTCTCAGCTGTCAGACATGTTTGTGTCAGTCATATGATAAATGGACACTCAACATTTTTTGTATGGTATGTATATTGCACAATCCACCAGCAACAAGGATTGCATATTAAACTTGTCATTAGGCAATACTCTGCATTTTCTACTAAAACATTTGAGTTAACACACTTTTGCTTTACTTCTGCATTGTCGTGTGATAAAATCATTACAATTTTTGCTACTTGAAACAACATTGGATTAACAACTTTACTATCAACTAATAGGAGAAATATGCAGAACAATCTGCATATCTTCTCCTACTAGTTCATAATAAAAGATATCTATTAGATAACTTTTAGATAGATCGTTGTGTATTAGTCAAAGTTCTGGCATTATTTGAACTTCCTGGTTAAACGTTATTCTGTGATGCTCTAAGATAATAGTAAGACATCTTGGAGCACCGAAATAACTTATTAAAAAAAAATCTAAACATCGCTTAGCGAAATCAAAATTTTCAAAACTCTCCTTTTTTAACAATGCCAAGTTGCATAGGAAAGAACACAGGCTCATAGACTGATCAACTAGAAATGATTTTATTAGCCCAGAACCATGTTGAAATGATGCTAAAGAAAAAAACACATCTTGAGTGTGTGAGGCAACTTGATGATAATTCTTGGCAAAAATGATGATAAATGTCTAGCAGCATTATATTTTAGTGAAAACTCTTAATTTAGTGACTACAAAAACTAAAAATTGCATTTTTCTTGAAATTTAATTTTTTGACTAGTAACAATTTTACATTTCTGTAACTCAAAAACAGCAATCACCACATTACTCAAAATCAATCACAAAACACCAATCACCACATTTTTCCAATTGCATTTTTTAAACACCAATCACTACATTTCTTCAGTTGCATTTTTCATTTTGCAGATCTATATTTCACAATTTATGTAATGTATCAGCTTTTGTGAACATTTTTCATATGCACATTCGATATTAAATGATATTCTTTTAGAAACTTTTTTGATAAATCTTTCTATGAGGCATAACATTAGATGACATTTTGATAAATCTTTCTATGAGGCATGACATCAGATAGTATAACTCATTATATAGAAAAAGACTTAATGCCTGACATTGCTTACGAAATGGTTCTACTATGTAGTAGTATGTACCAACCAAGTAGTAGTATGTAATAACTACTTAGTAGTATGTAGAAACAGATTAAAAAACCTGACTTTGATCAGAAGATCTGTTATAGCTTTAACAATATTCTGTGCAGTAATAGTTCTATATACTGTTTTAATATTTTTTTATTATATATTTCATTATTATATAATGTTAACTTTTCCACATAAGTTTTTACATTGTTAAAAATTTCAAGAGATCTCTATGTAACCACAGCATTTTTTTTTTAATTATCTTTGCTTCCAACAAGGTTGCAAGCAACCACTAATTAGTGTTGGAAGTTACTGGAAGAGAAAAGATGAAGATTGTAGAGCAAGATAACGATTGACAGACGACTTAAAATATTGCAAATTATATGAATCAGGAAAGCAAGATGAAGGAAGCGAATTCCAAAGAACTGATGTTCGAGGAAAAAAACTAGACGAATAAGAGTTTTTGGAGCACTTAGGAACAGTAACAGAAAAAGGATGAGACTTAATTGAATGACGAGTAACACGAGAATGAATTTTAGTAGATGGCACAAGAGACGCTAGCTCTTTAGAGCAGTGCCCATTATAGTATTTGTAGAAAATTTCTCAACAAACTCTGTTGTACAATATTTTAAATGAATCATAGTTTTGTAACCGTTTATTGCCAAACAGTCGTCCTGCAATCAAGATTATCTGTAAACAGTCTATATAAGAAACTTATTACTGAATTTAAAACAGCATTTTTGTGTTCTCTGAAATACTTTATGAACTACATGAAGGCCACATGAAGCAATATTGATTAACTGAATATCAAATTTAGCTGAATGGCTTTCTTCTAGGGCCCCAAAATATTTCAGCTCACACTGGTTAGTCCATGCTTAGAGATTTGAATTATTGAGACAAAAACATGTCAACAATTAAGATTAAAAATAAAGAAAAAAACTCTCCCAACCATTAAATAATTAGATAGCATATAAAATGAAAAATTTTAACTCTCCAATATTCATAAAAATATTTAAATGAATACAAAAAATATTTGTTTTTTTGACTGAATACATGAAATTTTCATAATTTTTCACAAAATTCATTATATTCCCTGACTTTTTTGACATAATTTAGAATACCTCTGATTTTTCCAGGTTTTATAGGCTATTTCTAGCCTTGTTTTTTATAGGCTGCTGGCCTGGTCTTTGTTATTTCCTGTTTTATATAAAATATTTTACTTGGCAATTTATAACGCTTCAATTGTAAAATGCAAAAAAACCTTGAAGTTTTACTATATCTCTTTTTGATTTTTTAATTTTCTTTTAAATTTTTTTTTTACTTTCTATTATTTATATCACAGTATAAAAGTAAATTGAAAAGCAATTATAGACCATCAAACTTAATAAATTAAAATTTTGAGGAACCAAAATACTTTTTTTTTAATTTAAAATTTTATAACTAACTATTACTCATTTTATAATCAATTAATTATTATTCATTGGCAATTGTTATTTCGATAACGACATAGTATTTAAATTTAAATTAATATTAAAAAAATTTATTATTATTTTGCTAATATAATTTTATATTTTTATTTATTACTTACTTTGACAAGGAAAACTTGCATTTTGAAGTACGCATTTATTTAAATGAACTATATGCAAACGCTAAAATGCAAATTTGACAAAATTTAATGAAAAAATACTTACTTGGTGATTTTCCTCCTGAGTTGTTTGGATCATCAAGCGACCCTGTAAAATCGTATAAATACAAGTGTAACAATTTTGAGCAAAATTTTTATCTGACAAAAATCAACACATTATGAATGTGGAAAAAGTAAATTATATTAAAGATACTGCAGCATTTGAGATTTAAGGAAACAAGTTAAATTTTACCTTTTATCATTTAAAAAACCACAAAATAAAACGCAACTTTATAGACTAGAATGTTTTGAGTTTTTTTTAATTTTGAATGTTTTTATATTTAATTTTTTACTGTTTTTATTATTTAATTTATTTGTTTTTTTAAACTGCTTTGTCATTTTTGTTATACCGACTGATTTATTTAAAGATTAACACAGCATGAATGTATATACATCAACTGACTAGAAATATATATATATTAGGGCGGGTCAAAATTTTCTTTTAAGAAACAGTATATTGTGGGGAGTTCCTATATATGTGTTTAGGATGTATACTAATTTTGAGGTCTGTGCTAGCCTCCATAGGGGTCGCACACAAAATCGGATTTTTTGGCATTTCAGAGAAAAAAGGGTATAAACAAGTTTTATATATAATTACTTTATAATTGTTTTATTTATATAATTGTAACAATTTAGATATACTACAAAAATGTTATACTAAAACACTGTTTAGGTATTTTATTAGAATAAGGAATACAAGGTGTTAAATAAGGGATATAAGCTTGAAAATGCTTCTGTTCATATATTACCTTTTTTAAGCAAACAAACAAAACTTTTAGAAATAAAAAAATAATAGAATAAAACGCTTTTATAGGTTATAAAAAAATGTATATTTTTATAAATGTCTTATTTCAATTGCACTTTCGAATCAAATTTAGGCATTTTTTCACTGGACTCCAACAGGTTTTTTACGAATTTGTGACATTTTTCATAGCTATATCTATTTTCTGATGCCTTTGTGACTACTACAACTATTTTTTCCATATTCTGACTATTAAAAGGATTCTCTAGGATACTTAATGGACTGTCATTGAATTTCACAATATCTTTGTTTGAATAATCATTCAGTAAAGGTGGTGAATGAACTTCTTTGATGTCCCAATTTATAAATTTACAGAAATCTTTTGCTCCAAGATTTAATATTGTAGGAAGTTTAAAATGTCCATTGAATTTGCTAGTATTCCTGGATTTAAGTATCCTTTGAATGACTGTAGTTTTAACTTGTTTTCTTTCATCACTTATCATTGCCAATAAAATATTCTCTGGGTTAAAAAAAAATACAAGTTTTGCTTCAAAACTTGCTCCATTACCTCCTTGTATTTTACATCAATAACTGCATTTTTAATTATTTGAGCAAGATACCAAAAATTTTGAGCGCCATTGATTGCCAAATAATTTGATTTGATTTGAAACCATCCTGGTGCATAGCATTGCATAATTATTGTAACCAAGTCAATAAGTTCTTTTGTTGGCTTTTCAGTTAAATGTATAAGCGTAGAATACGATTTGGTCTTGTGAGCCACTGGACATGATGAATGTTTCCAAGAGAATTTTTAGGTATTTCATTTGACACATCTCCTGATTGAGTAGATAAATAGATACTGTAAAGATACTTTTAATCTGAACTTAAATCACTAAAGATATTATCTGGAATTAAATGAAAAAAACCATTGATTTTTTTTAAAAGTAACTACTGCTAAATTAGTTAAGTCCTCTGTTATTTTTTTACCAATTTCTCCTTTAAATGATCCAGGGTAAGAAGTTTTTCCATTAATAAACTCAAATATATGTTTAAAGGGAAGTTCATTTAAATGTAGCTGACAAACAAGCCACTGCATTGGTTTTTCGAGTTCTGTTCCAATTAATTTTATCACCCCTCCAAATTTTCCAGTATTTATTTTACAGTTGCATCACATAAAAGAGCATTTAAAGAACCGCTGCTGCCAGTTTCAAATATTAAATAAAGAATTTTATTAGCAATGCAGCGAGTTCCATTATCAAGTGTAAGATTATCTATATAGCTGCTGCTTGGTTCTCTAACAATTGTAATATGTTCTTCTTTAATTATCCCTGCAGTTGTTATTGTATTGTCTTTTTTTCCATCAAAACCAATATATTGTAATTTCAAGTATTGAATTTTTTCTAATTTACATTTTTTTGTCCAACACAAAGTCTTTCTCTTTCTACTTTTTTCCTATCAAGCATATTTGATTCATTTAGTATACCCATGTCTTTTATAGTAGCATTGACAATAGCATCAGTTGCTCTGCAACTGAAACGATTTGATTCATTTACTATACCCATGTCTTTTAGAGCAGCATTGACAATAGCAGCAGTTGCACTGCAACTGAAACGATAATGACCTGCTATGATTGCTAGTTGATTGTAATGAAACTTATTTTGATTATATTTTTTTATGACATCAGACTCATATAGCTTGTCATATTCATTATTAGATTCATCTAATATGATACTATCCTCAGATTCATAGAAATAGTCATCGGTAATTTGTCTATCGATGTCTTTCTTAACATTTTTATGTGTGTTAAACTGTTTTTGCTTTTATTAAAAATTTTTTTTTTTCTAGTTTCAGTTTTCTTCGAAGTATGTGTAGGTATGTGTAGGTAAAATGTGTAGGTACGATCAAGTAGTCCAAGTTGATTTGTGCGTTTCTTTTGCCCTCATCCCACTCTTTTATTGGCACTTTCATATTACATCTGCATTTCTCTTTTTCTACTCCTAAATCATAATAATTGCATGAACATATATCAAACATGTTGTCAAAAGCCATGTTGTCATATATAATATATATCCGACATGTTGTCATTAAAATTAGCACTTCTTTTAAGTTTTGAAGTTTTATTCAAACTGGATGCTTTAATCTATTAATCTACATACTTTTGAGAATACTCTCTCTGTTTCAATTGTTGGAAAACTGAATTTACGCCAAATATTTTCAAATTCAATGGTAACTAATCTGTAACATTTATGAGCAGAACTTGATCCTTTGCCTTTAGCATCTTCATTTCTACAAACATAATAGCAATATTTCACATCTCTTTTTGTAGGAATCATTACAGTTGGAAATTTAGAACCTTGTCCAAATGTTAAGTTGTCAGTTTTACTGTGAGTATGAAATGTCGCCATGATACAATGTGTTGCTTATTATTAGTTATATTCTATTTTTAATTACTAAAAAATAAAAAATAGACATGTATACACAAACACAAAATATACTATGTATAGAGACGAAAATACAACAAATAGAATAAATAAAAAATTACATAAAATCAAGTTCTTATGCTGACATGATATCATATTATATATATATATATATATATATATATATATATATATATATATATATATATATATATATATATATATATACATATCTATATATATATATATATATATATATATATATATATATATATATATATATATATATATATATATATATATATATATATATATATATATATATATATATATATATATATATATATATATATATATATATATATATATATATATATATATATATATATATATATATATATATATAGATATATAGATATATATATATATATATATATATATATATATATATATATATATATATATATATATATATATATCTATATATATATATATATATATCTATATATATATATATATATATATATATATATATATATATATATATATATATATATATATATATATATATATAGATATATATATATATAGATATATATATATATATAGATATATATATATATATATATATATATATATATATATATATATATATATATATATATATATATATATATATATATATATATATATATATATATATATATATAGATATATATATATATGCAATTGCAAAATATCATATTATATATTATACGCTATATATATATATATATATATATATATATATATATATATATATATATATATATATATATATATATATATATATATATATATATATATATATATAGATATATATATATATAGATATATATATATATAGATGTATATATATATATGCAATTGCAAAATATCATATTATATATTATACGCTATATATATATATATATATATATATATATATATATATATATATATATATATATATATATATATATATATATATATATTTATATATATATAGCGTATGTTAGGGTGAATCAAACTCCCAACAATTTTTTTTAACTATTTACTTCAGTTTTGCCCCTATAATTCCTGTGTTCCACTTCAAAAATTACAACTCTTGTAAAAATTTGAGATTTTTCTGTGGCAATTTAATGGGTACACAATGAACACAAATATATGTATTTTTTTTAATAAACTATAATTAAATTATTATTGGCATCGGTTACATTTAAACAATTAATATACACATAACTATTTATAGTTCCAGGAATTACTGCAAAGACTGTCAAATAGATAAATGAATACTCAAATATTCCAAAAAAGTATGACAAAATTTACAATATCTAACAGAGCACAGTACAATAGGTACCTTTTAGCTACTAAGACTATGGGTATGTAGTTAAGTATTGTCAACTGTCATCTTCGTGATCTTTGACTGTTAGTGCTGCTCATTTCTTCTTACGGCTGCACAAACTTGGAACTTTCTTTCCTTCAGCCTCAACAACTTGCAGAATATTCTCATAATTCACCTCGATTTTGGCTGCATCTAGAAAGTCTGCACTTAGTTTCACACTACGTTCTGCACTGTCATTGATAACATTGACAGAAATCATCTTCATATTTGATGACAGAAAAGAAGGGTAAACTGACCAGTTTTCAATGTTATTGTTAAGAAAGTCCACATTCATCTTTAAAAAGCTAAAAATGTACCATGAATCTGCAGCAACCAAATTTCCAAGTCTTGTTGTGGCAGTGATTTCAATTGGGAACTAGGGTTTTCAAAAGCCAGTTCCATAGCAATTATGCGCCAGAGCCATTCGATCACTAGACCTCGCTGCCAGAAGCTTCTTGGCTAAGTACTGCAATTTCCTTCATTGTAATCTAAGAAACAGTTTGTGAATCATTCAAGAAAGGTAGAGGGCAAATGGACTGAGTGTCTTATCGCTTCCATGAGGAACTGTGTCAAAATGCTTCTTAAATGCGCTAAATACAGTAACTTCTGGTGATTTTGACGCTTCAATGTACAAATCGTTTGAAACGTGTGTTAAAATAACTTCTCTAACATGATGACGACATGCAGACCAGAGCAATGCTTGGCTAATTTTTTGCTGAAGGACCACACACTTCTATCCTACTTATTAACAGATCAGTGATCTGGAGGTATTATCCTTAATGCTACAATGCATTTGTTGCAGTCATGGAACTGTGCTAAGTCAATACTAAACATGACTTTGAATACTATGTCCATACACTACTGGACATGTCAGGTGGCACTGACATGTCTGGTATTGCTGGCCGTAGTATCAGAAGTCATGTTTACTATTGACTTAGCACAGTTCCATGACTGCAACAAATGCATTGTATCATTAGGGATAATATCTCCAGATGGTTGATCTGTTCCTGGTTGATAAGCAGGTACGCCAAGTATGTTGACATTGGTGTTATCACCAACAGCGACCACAAGTCTTTCCTGTAATGTGTTGCCTGGCTCATGTTTCCTGTAAGTCATGTGAGTGCAGACTGTTGAGCAGGAGAAATTTTCATTCTTAATGCCAAAACCATAATTCTTGGAGATTTGAGAATGTTATAAGGTATATGAGCTGCCGTTCCAGTGCAAGTGGTTTAATATTGCGTTTATTTTCAGAAGAATTTAAAAGGACTATTAATATCACATTTACTTTTATCACTACTGAACAAATAGCAGTTACTGTAGCAGTAGCAGCAGCTGAAAAGTGTTGGTTTGTTACAATTGGTGTTGTGTACTCACTTGAAAAGTGTTGGTTAGTTACAATTGGTATAAAAAATTTTAAAATGGTTTGTTTCAAAGCATCATAAGTAGTTAATAGTACACTATCAGAACATATCTGTGTGTTTAAATCACTAAGTAAAAAATTTCTTTTTTGGCATTTTATTAAATACTTTTTGTAAATGCAATGCATTTTAGTGAAGCTGCACCAACCAGTGAACACCTTAGGGATGAATAATAAGTTAAAAAGAGTTTAGCAGGGTGAGATAAAAGTACAAAAGGACATATGTCTAGAGGAAAACAAAGAGCCTTAAAGTAGAAAAATATTAAAAACTGATAAGTAATATATAGTAAAAAATACATGAGAGCAATAAACAATAGTCAAGGAAAGTAAGAGTCATTAGTTGTTATGCTACTAAATTGTTGTTAGTGTCTAGCGAAAATGTGATGTATAGACAGAACTGGTAATGAAGTAGAATTATTTGCTTTATAAGTAGTTTTCATGTATTCTGTATTATTAGAGTGATAAACATACATTATAGATATAAGTGTGTCATGAACGTCTCAAGTACAGTATGGATTCGTGCCTTATGGTACAGTATGAACACATAAAGACCTCCAGCTTTCATCTGAGACTGGTATCCCTAAAGAAGTTCCACTTTGGGTCTATACCGGGGTATCTTTTTAAGGTATCCCATTGTGTTTTCCCAAAAGGACTATTCTCAGAGTATCCAGTCAGGACGATTGCCACAGACTTCTGAATTGACACTGAGACCAGAGGACACTTAGTGGGGTTCAGTACAACTTGCAAACAATAGTAAGTAATTTTTTGACATGAGTGTCAATAAGTGCAGTGGTTTGTCACAGTATATGGTCAACAACATGGGTCAATGAGAGTTGTAAACTATTTTGAGTTCTTATAGCTATGTATGTAATGTAAGTAGTCAAGGTAGTGTACATGTGTGAGATTACTGTAGTAGCTTATTTTGATAGTAAGAGTTATCAGTATAAAAAATAGTTAAAGACCATTTAAATTGGTGTAACGTAAGAACGTCATAGGACTACTAGAATTTACTAAAAGTAAATTCTAGTAGTTCTATGACGTGTATGTGGAGAATAAACAAACTATTACAACTAGATGATCTAGAATATTTAACTAGAATTACATCAATATAGCAACAAAAACTAATATATAAATTTTTTTAACTAATAATCTGTATAAATATTTTAACACTAATACTTAAAAATCATATGGAGTTTTGTAGTTTAACTCAACTCGTATCTCCGCGCAGTGGCCTTGTTCGTCAAGGTTCGTGTTTCAGAGTTATAGAGTTGAGAGAGGGTTATAGCCACAAATAAGTAGCCTCCTCGTCTGTAGTGTCCTTCTCGGCCTTGAGAAGGTGAATCAAAATAAAAAAATAAAAAAAACAGGTAAATGTATGTGGTTCCAAAATGTGTATGGTATTTTGTATAAGTAAAAAGATTAACAGTGCATAAGTCACGTGACTTTAATGTTACAAGAAGTATCCAAAGTAGAGTTAAATTATTTGTTTTATAAAACTTGTTGTTAATTAACTAAAGGCTATCTTTATAAAAGGTAGCCTTTAGTTAATGAACAAACTGTATGTATAGCATGGCCTGTTTTTTGTTTAATATTATTCATAGTGACTTGTGTCTTAAGTCTTTCAGTGTGAGTTTATTGTATTAAAATAATATTAGTTGTTAAAACTGGTTATTGAAATTAAGTAATGTAATATCTAGTAATAGTGTGAAACTATTGTATTTTATTTTTTATTAGCTTAATAACTCCTTGTTAGCATTATCCTAATGTTTTAACAGTGTGAAGACAATACAATAACAAAAACATGTATTTATATGTAAGTATACTAATTAAGTGTTAATACTTATCTTTTATGGAGGGATATGTATGGGTGTACATGATAGAGCTAGAGTAGAATTATTCATTTTTAAAGTAGTTATCAGATGATGTATGTGACAAAGCTGGAATAGAATTATTCATTTTTTAAGTAGCTATGAGATGATGTATGTAGCAGAACTGGAGTAGAATTATTCATTTTTTAAGTAGACATCAGATGATGTATGAACAGAACTTGAGTAGAATTATTCATTTTTTAAGTAGCTATGAGATGATGTATGTAGCAGAATTGGAGTAGAATTATTCATTTTTTAAGTAGACATCAGATGATGTATGAACAGAACTTGAGTAGAATTATTCATTTTTTAAGTAGTTATTAGATGATGAATGTAACAGAACTGAAGTAGAATAAATCGTTTTTTAAGTAGTTATCAGATCATGTATGTAACAGAGCTGGAGTAGAGTTATTTGTTTTTAAATAGTTATCAGATGGTGTATGAAAGAGAGCTGGAGAATTATTCGTTTTTTAAGTAGATATCTGATGGTAAGGATATTATTGTAATAACCCTGACATGGGGGTAAGAGTAATTTGTATAGAATAATTAAAATTTTAGAGCATGTATGGTGACAGTAAAAGTCAGTAATTGTAATGGTTATGGTTAGCTGAACTGTT